CGTGTCTGCGACGGGGGGGCCTGCGGCACCTCAGCAGCCCAACCCGCTTGTCCAGTTGTGCTCCACTCCTGTGCTGTCCCCTCGGGGGCAGCTCCAGCCGTGCCCTTCCTCAGGGGTGATCAGGGGTGACGGTGTGGGCGCAGGAGCCTGAGAGAGAGACAGCGCGGTGTCAGAGACTCCAGGGAGGGTGAGGGCGGGAGGAGGGTTCAAAGGTCAGACCCTGGAGCCAGACTGCGGGGGCGGTTCGAGTTCTGGTTCCATCCCCGAGGAGCTGAGTGACCTGGAGCAAGTCACTGAGCCCCATCAGAGAGGGACATTCCCTACTTCGTAGCAGCCAGAGCTGGGCCCAGAGTAAGTGCTCAGTCAGGTCAGCTCTCATGAGGCAGGCTGGCCCTGCCCCGGCCCCGGGGTCACGTCTTGCCACCGCCACTTGAGCACCTCTGTGCCTCAGCGTCATTGCCTTAAAATGATGATGTTAGCGCTTTACAGAAGTGTTCTAGAAGATTCAGTGAGTTTGCCCACCAGGCCTGGCACCCCGTAACAAGCCGGTGGTTGGCTGCCCAGCTCCTGTGGTTATCACTGCTCTTCCGACATGGGCCTCCAGCCGCTGGGGCCAGGAACGCTCAGGAAAACGGGGGCAGGACAGCGTGGCGGGTGGGAGCCTTGGCTCTGGAGTCCGGCTGGGTTTGAATCCCCGTGGTGCCCCGGGTCACTTGTGGGACCTCAAGCGCGTGACCTCCACTCCCCGGGCCTCAACTTCTCCTCTGTAAATCTGGGAACGCTAACCTGTGGATGTGGGAGTCTTGTGAGGACCTAAGGGGCAAGTCCTAAGCACCCTGACACCTGCCTGGTGGGGGGGGTGGAGCTGGATGGGGGGAGGGCGGAGACCGGAGACGCTGCTGCCCCCTTGTGGACACCTCGGGAATGCTGAGCCTGAGGGCTAGCAGGGACAGGGACCGGAAGGGCTCTGGGCCCCGTTAGGTGGAGGCCAACCCCATGTCCTCCCTGCCCAGACGCTGAGCCCCCGGGAGCTCTGGCACTTGGTGCATCAGTGCTACGGCTCAGAGCTGGGTCTCACCAGTGAGGATGAGGACTATGTCTGCCCCTTGCAGCTCAACGGTCTGGGGTGAGTCAGAGGTTGGTGGCTGGTTCCCGGGGTGGGGGAGACAGTAGGGGCTGTGTGCAGAGCTCCTGGAGTCCCGGGTGGACTGAGATGGGCATACAGTCTGGGAGACCAGGAGGGTGTATGGGGTTCAAAGATACAGCGATTCCACACCCTCCCTTTCCCCACAGGAGCCCCAAGGAAGTGGGAGACGTGATTGCCCTGAGTGACATCACCCCCTCGGGGGCAGCCGACAACAGCCAGGAGCCGAGCCCGGTGGGCTCGCGCCGTGGCCACATCACCCCCAACCTTTCCCGGGCCAGCAGTGATGCAGATCATGGGGTGAGCAGAGGATGTGGGAAGGAGGAGGATGCTGATAGAAAGAGACAGAGGACGGTGGGGAGTGGTGTCAGGGAGAGGGACAGACCGAGAGGTTGGGGCGGGGGGAAGGGGAAGGGCCAGAGGGCCAGAGAAGAGGTGGATGGAGGGCTAAGGGAGGGGATGGATAGAGGGATGGGATGGAGCTGAGAAGATGGGCAAAGAAAACAGGGAATGAGAGAGAGGCAAAAGGGCAGAAGACAGGAAGAGACTGAGAGACAGAAGAAGCAAGACTTGGATGGATGGAAGGAAAGAAGGAATGATGGACTGACAAAGATGGACAGACCAGGCATGGAAGGATAGACAGATGGGCAGGAGAGGCATGAGAAGGCTTATGGCCCAGGCACGCAGGACAGCCTGGTAGGGGCTGAGAGAGGCCCTCATCTGGGCAGCCCCAGGGCCCCTTGCGGCTTGGCTGGAAGCTTTACGTGCACACACAACCCCCCAGCATCGGTTTTCCTACAGTCTCAAATCCTTATGGCCAATGTGGGCACACGGGGGGCCCTCAGGCTGGAGTGGAGGTGAGACCGAGCTGGATTAAGCCTTTCTCTGCAGGCAGAGGAGGACAAGGAGGAGCAGACGGACAGCCAGCCAGACGCCTCCTCCAGCCAGACAGTGACCCCGGTGGCTGAACCCCCGAGCACTGAGCCGACCCCCCCTGAGGGGCCCACCTCCGTGGGCCCCTTGGACCTGCTGCGCAGTGAGGAACTGTTGACAGACACGAGTAACTCCTCTTCGTCCACGGGGGAGGAAGGTGAGGCAGGTGGCCCGAGGCGTCCGCTTCGGTTACACGTGACAGCCCTTACTGAGACTGGCATCAGCAAGGGATTGGCTGGCTCACGGCACTAAGAAATTGGGGGGTGCAGGCATTCAGATGGTGTTGTTAGAAATCTGTCTTTAGCTCTGCCTTGAAGGCAGCAGGGCAGATGGTAAGAGCACAGACTCTGCAGCCAGATTGCCAGGGTCCAAATGCTGGCCGCACTGCCTCCGAGCTGTGTAACTTGGGCAAATTATTTAACTCCTCGAGCCTCATTTTCCTCATCTGAAAAATGGGGTGAGCAATAGTCATACGGACTTCATAGGGTCGACGTTAAGAGAATTGAAGTGAGTTAATATTTGTAAAGTGCTCGGGCCAGTTCGTGCTGGCTCTGGTTATTGCTCTTTCCATTTTCTGTGCCAGCTTCCTTCTCAGGTAGCCTCCATTCTGGGGGGCGGGGTGGTACAGAGCTCCCCAGCCCTGCCCCAGCAAGTCTAGCAGAGAGAAAGCATGATTTTCCCATGGGAGGCACCAGAAGCTCTAGGTTTGGCTCTCCTTGGTCCACCTTGGAGCCCAGGCCCACCCCCGAGCCAATCACTGCGGCCGAGAGCTCAGGCGGGTGAGCCTGGGAGCACAGGCCCACCCCTGCCGTCGTGGGGAGCGGGGGGCAGCCGGCTGGGCCTCCGGGTGCTGCTCGGTGAACTGGTCACGGTGGCTCTGGCTGGCTGAGCCCCGGCAGACATGCCCGCCCTAAAGCCACCTCTGCGGCAGAAAGGGGCCAAGCAGTGCTCTGGTCAGCGTCCACCCGGGCCCGGGAGGATGGGGCTGCCCCTCCACTGTGCAAGGCCTGGGAGTGGAGAGGAGCGGTCACCGGAGGGGAAGCGAGGGGCTGCTCCGAGGAGGGAGCAGTGCAGCCTCCACTGTCCTTCTCTGTCACCCAGCTGACCTGGCCGCCCTGCTTCCTGACCTCTCCGGCCGGCTCCTCATCAACTCCGTCTTCCACGTGGGTGCCGAGCGGCTGCAGCAGATGCTCTTCTCAGACTCGCCCTTCCTGCAGGGCTTCCTGCAGCAGTGCAAGTTCACAGGTCAGGGGGCCGAGCTCCCGTGGGTGCAGGGGAGGGGGAAGGGAGGCCGAAGCAGGAGACAGGGGGGCCCTGCGGAGCAGATGCGGCAGGCTGGGCGGTGGGCGAGCAAGAAGCCCGTCCTCCTCGAGACCGGACCGGACCTGCTCTGCCTCTGAACTGACTGAGTGGCCTCGGGCAGGGTCGTGAGCCTCTCTGCCTCAGTTTCTGGCTCTGTATGTTGGGGGCGTGATAATAGCTCCTGGTGTATGCAGGTCTTCTGAGGGCTGTATGAGTTGATACTAGACACTTGCCAAGAGCAGTGGCATATAGTAAGCATTTAATAAACACAAACTCGTGATCACACATTTAGTGGCCGCTCTGTCAGATTTGTGCAGAGGCCAGGACAGATGAAGTCGAGAATCTAGTGAGAACAACAGTAAATAGACACACAAATAAGTCACAGATGTGCCGGGACTGTGAGCGTCAGAGGGGTATCTGTGACCTGAGGGGTCTCAGGAGAAGTTGCTGGAAGGATGTGACATTGGAACCAAGACCTGAAGGAGGAACTCTTCTGGGGAAAGGGGAGGAGATGGGGGAGAAACCCAGGAGGCCAGCGGGGTACCTGCAAAGGCCCTGAGGCCAGGGGCAGACACTGGGAGAATCCCTTGAGGCCGGGCCTCTGTGGCCAGGCGTAGCGAGGTGAAGCGACAGCGCCAGGTGACATGGAAGGGTTCACTGTGGGACCAGCTGAATGGCTCAGGAGGCTGTGGAAGGGATTCAAGCGGGGGGGGGCTAGTCAGATGGTCGTCTTCCTCTGTTTCTTTTTTCTGTGTTGATGAAAATGAGCCACGTAGAATCCCCTGCAGAATGAGTGAGACCGTGCCTTGAGTTGGGGGCCCACAGTCCTCTGATACTATGCTAATGTCCTGGAGGGATGGGCACATCAGACTGAGGGACTCAGATTCTGTCCAGAGGCCCTGGAGAGCCATGGAATGTTCTAGGCAGGTTAGGGGCAGGGACAGGCTTGGCTTTAAGAAGCTACCCCCTGGACCTCAGAGGTGGAGACTGAGGCCAGAAACTCAGGGGGGCCGGAGTGGGACCCTGGGTAGGCAGGGATGAGCTGAACCAGGAGCGATGCTTAGGAGGTCAAGTGAACACAAGGGGGAGGGAGTATCCAGGGCAGGGCCCAGGGCTCCGGGGGAGTCTGGAGGATGGTGGGGCTACCCCTGAGCTGGGATCCCGAGATCACAGCTCCCGAGAGGAAGGGGGGTAGGTTTAGGGGGATGCCGAGGCCAGTGTGGGACCTGGTGGGTGTGAGATGTCTGGGGAACTTCCGAGGGAAGATGCTCAGGAGGTCACAGGACCCCAGGACTGGTACAGAGAGGGAGACTGAGGCTGCAGGAGCAGATGAGATGGCCCCAGGATGGGTAACAAGCATAGGGAAGAGAGAGGTCCCAGCTTGGAGTATTACCAACATCTGAAGTTTTAGGGGTCCAGCAGGAAGGTGGGGCTGACATCAGGATGGGGCATGGGGCCAGGGTGGGTTTGGGGCCGAGTCCCCAGAGAACTGGAACTATCCCAGAAGGCTAGTTCCCACAGCCTGTGGGCAGAAGACTGGAGAATGGCCTCCTCATTCTGCCCTCCCTCCCTCCCCCAGATGTGACCTTGAGTCCCTGGAGTGGCGACAAGTGCCACCAGCGCCGAGTGCTGACGTACACGATTCCCATCAGCAACCCGCTGGGCCCCAAGAGCGCCTCCGTGGTGGAGACACAGGTGGGCCAGGCAGAGGGGCCGGCCGGGCAGGGGGCCTGGCCGGGTGGGCTGGCCCTGACTCCCCCCTCCTCCCTGGTCTCTGCAGACGCTGTTCCGGCGCGGCCCCCAGGCGGGCGGCTGTGTGGTGGACTCGGAGGTGCTGACCCAGGGCATCCCCTACCAGGACTACTTCTACACGGCCCACCGCTACTGCATCCTGGGTCTTGCCCGCAACAAGGCCCGTCTCCGGTGAGCAGCAGCCCTGCCCCTCACCTGACAGAGTCCCCTCTCTTGGGTGGTGCCAGAACACCCGGAGGAGTCTGGCCTGTGCGAACAGGCCGGAGCTGCCATTGACCGGAATGGGGAAGGTGGTGAGGGATAGGTTTGGGGGAAGATCAGGAGCTCAGTTTGGGGTGGGTCGAGCTGTCTCTGGGACCCCGTGTGGAGCTGGGGCATAGCAGCAAGGTGGAAGAGTCCGGGCCAGGTGCGGGCTCAGCTGCTGGTGGTGGGGGCGGGTGTTGCTAAGTCTGGGAGACTTGCCAAGGTGTGTGTGGTCTGTGGGTGACAAGGGGCCCTCTCTGAATTGGGGGAAGGAAAGCACCCCCTTGGAATGGTTGGATTGAGACCCTGACCCCCTCCCCCTGCCCTTCCCCCCCCCCCGGACCCCAGGGTGTCTTCTGAGATCCGCTACCGGAAACAGCCCTGGAGCCTTGTGAAGTCACTCATCGAGAAGAACTCCTGGAGCGGCATCGAAGATTACTTCCACCACCTGGGTAGGGGAGAGGTCGGCCAGGCCGGGGACAGGGTCATGGCCTGGCCAGGTGCAGCCACCCAGAGGCCTCTCCTGTGTCCACAGAGCGGGAGCTTGCCAAAGCGGAGAAGCTGTCCCTGGAGGAAGGCGGGAAGGATGCCCGCGGACTGCTGTCAGGCCTGCGGAGACGCAAGCGGCCCCTGAGCTGGAGGGGGCACGGCGACGGGCCCCAGCACCCGGACCCGGACCCCTGCACCCGGGCTGGCATGCACACCTCAGGTGTGTCCCCTCGGGCCGGGCGGGGCAGGCAGAAGCGCAGGGGTGGGAGGCCCGGTGGGTGTGCTGGGATGGCCCTGTCTGACTGCGTGGCGCTCTTCTTCAGGTTCCCTCAGCTCGCGCTTCTCAGAACCGTCCGCCGACCAGGGCCCCGGGGCAGGCATCCCCGGCGCCCTGGTTCTCATCAGCGTGGTGTGAGTAAGGGGCCCGGGCTGTGGGGTCAGACAGGCCTGGCTCTGCATTCTGGCTGTGTGACCTCGGGCAGGTGCCTGGCCTCTCTGGGCGTCTGCCGGAGTGGGGACGTGGGCTCACCTCCTAGCATAGCAGAGATGAGGGGAGAGGATGTTTGGCACGTGCCCAGCACAGCTCCTTACACGGCATCCTGCTCTGTGTGTTGTGGAGAAGTCTGTCCTGCTGGGAGAGGGAGGGCCTGGGGGCTCTGGGAGGTCAGAGGGGCCTGACCTCGCCCCGGGGGCAGGGAGGGCTTTCTGGGGGAGCAGGCACCCAGAGGAGGTGGAATGAGGGGAACCGGGAGAGATCTGGAAAAGAAGCACGGTCACACATCTCAGTCCTGTTTTCTGTGCCCAGCCCTAAGCTGGGAGACGCTGGGGACACAGAAGTGACTAGAGACCTGAGGACAGGTCTGAGACAGCAGGCCAGGGTGCTGGGGGACAGGGATGGGACGGGGAAGCTGCGGGAGGCTGGGGAAGGCTTCCCGGAAAAGCAGAGGATTCCTGAGCTGAGACCCCCAGAGGGTGAGGCAGGGAGACCCATGTGCCCAGAGGCCTGGGCGGGGGTGGAGGGGGGCAGGACACCCTGAGGACGTGGAAGTGAGGTCCGAGCTTCCAGCAGGCCCTGGAGGTGAGAGTCAGCTTGGTCACACACTCAGCCTCTCTGGGCCTGTTTCCCAGCACCGGCAGTCCGGAGAGCGGCTGCGCGGCATGCTCCGGGCGGGGCGGGGGCGGCTCTCACCTCTTTGTCTTCCTGTTGCTGCCTCCCCAGGATCTGTGTGAGGTAGGGCCCTGCATCCTGCAACCCCTCCCCTGTCACCTCAGCCCCCAGCTGCAGCCCCTTCTCCAGGCCCTGAGCCCCCAGCTCTCCCAGCGAGGCAGCCTGCTGTGGCAGTTAGGGGCGTAGCCAGGATGCGACCCTGACTTCGCTCACGGACTGTGTGACCCTAGGCGTGTCTGTCACCCTCTCTGGGTCAGCTTTCTCCTCTGGAAAGGGGGGTAGTTGTGGTGCCCCTTCAAGGTGTCCTTGCGTGAGTGTTGCTGACCTAGGAGAGCCTCTGTGTCCGGACGCTGACCTCTGATCCCTGCCCTCAGCCTCATCGTCCTCATCGCCCTCAATGTCCTCCTCTTTTACCGCCTCTGGTCTTTGGAGAGGGCAGCCCACACCTTCGAGGCCTGGCACAGTCTGGCCCTGGCCAAGGGGTGAGTGGGCGGCCCGAGGGGGTTGGGAAGTCGGGCAGGTCGGGCGGGGCAGCCGCACTCAGGCCCTGCACCCCGTGCAGCAAGTTCCCGCAGACGGCCACGGAGTGGGCGGAGATCCTTGCCCTGCAGAAGCAGTTCCACAGCGCGGAGGTGCACAAGTGGAGGCAGATCCTGCGGGCGTCCGTGGAGCTCCTAGACGAGGTGCGCCTTTGGGGCAGCGGGGCCCTGTGTTTAGGTCCCAGCATGTGGCAGATATCCCCGGGCCTCAGTTTCTCCCCCTGTGCAACAAGGAAGCCATTCACAGTCCCCAGCTCCCAGGGTTGCCAGAAAGACGGAAGAAAGAATTGGCTCTCAGCCGAGGATGAGTGTCCACGGTGTCGGACTGCAGGCATGGCTGAATCCAGCCACGCGCGTGCGATCTCCCGACTCTGCCCACCGCCGGGGTTGGCTTTGTTTGGGGGCATCCTCCCCTCCCACGCTGGACCAAGGTGGCAGCTGCAGCTCCAGGCTCACGCGCAAAGGAAAGAGTTCGTTCTTGCTGGCCGCTGGGCTCACGGAGCCAGTCACCATGGCTGGGGGCGGGGAGGCTTGGTCCCTGAACCCCACCCCCACTAAGGGGTCACATGAGGGTGGGAAAGAGTTCCTCCCGAGGATACGAGGGTCTCGTCTCCAGAAGGGGTTGCCCCACTCTCTGTAGTACAGTCGCAGCGTCTCTTCAGACGGCCACGTTCAGATTCTGCTGTGTGACCTTGTGCAAGTCCCTGCACCACGGCCGGCCTGGGCTTCCTCCTCTGTTGGAGGAAAGACTGTCCGAACATCAAATGAGTTAACGTTGGAGTGTGCCGCGCTCATAGTAAACACTTGTCGTGTGTTTGCGCTTATCAGCGTGAGCCCAGTGCCGGCCCACAGTAGGCGCTCAGTTACTGTGGTGATGGGTCGGCACGAAGGTCAGGTGTGGGGGTGGTGCTGAGGTGGGGGGAGGAGGGGTGGGAAGTGGAGGAGTGGCTGACATTGGCTGGGTGCCCAAGGGTACCAGAGCCCGAGTTGGTGGGTGACGGTGAAATTGTGTGTGGTCGCTAGAGACCAGGATGTGGAGCCCACCTCCAGGGGCTTTGTTGCCCCCCCTGCAACCATGCTGGCAGGGAGATGCTCAGGACGGGGTGGGGGGCAGCGAGGCTGGGGTCACATCACTCAGGGAGAGGGATGGCACGGCCTCCCCATCCTAAGTTAAATCCTGATTCTTTTCCTCTCTTAAATTGCCAAGGGCACAGAGTTGACTCCACAAATTCGTTTACCACAGACACAGATGGAGCTGGGCTGTTCTGTGCGCTGAAATGACCAGCTGATTTGCTCCTCAAGGCCAGGCCTGTGAGAGGGATGCTCTTGTGCCCCATCTAACAGATAGGGCTGCTAAGGTCTGAGAAGCTCAGAATTGCCCAAGGTCACACAGCAGGGAGTAAGACTAGCTACTGTGCCAAGTGCTAGGTGTTTGGCCATCAGAACCCTGAACTTGTCCTGTGATCTTTCAACTGCGGGGGGGGGGGGCTGGGACAGTTACGGGGCTTGCCCAGGAGCACCCGGTACGTAGTGGGGTGTGGCCAGAACCCGGGCCATGGGCGCCCCTTCCATCTGCAGCATCTTAGAAGTTAAACTGGGTACGGTCCGGCTCCTCTGTTGTCACAGGGTGACCTTGGCAGGGGATGTGGCCTCTCTGGACCCTCCCCAGTTCCTCGACAGCAGGAACCCCTACCAGCACTCACCTCCCACCCTGCCCACTTCTCCTCCCAGATGAAGTTCTCGCTGGAGAAGCTGCATCAAGGCATCACGGTCTCAGACCCTCCCTTCGACTCCCAGCCACGGCCCGACGACAGCTTCTCCTGAGGACCCCCAGCCCTGTGGCCGACCCCCCTAACGGACAGATGGACACAGAGCCTCGGCGGCCACCGCTGGCACGGTGTGAGCGCCGGGAGCCCCCCGCCCCCCCCCAGTGGCCCAGCTAGGGGCCACGCAGAAATGGGGACCACAGAACCGAGATGCACTTTAGACCAGCGTGTGCGAGTCCAGCTGCCATCGCCTGCCCAGCCAGGGAGCTGGCCTGGCCTCGGCAGGCCCCCCGCTAACTTATTTTGCCCAGCTGGGGCTGTGGGGGCGCCTCTGGGGTGCACGATTCCCTCAGCTCTGGGTTTAATGTATTATATTTATTTGGGGCCAACAGAGAGCCCCAATAAAGGGTTGGAAATGGCTGTGGCTGTGCCTGTGGGGTATCTGGGAGTGGTGGTGGGGGGCTCCCATTGTGCTGGAAGGGGGCATCTGTCCATTTTCAGGGGCCCGAGTCACTAACACGATCTGGGATTCTCCAGCATCTTCCACAAGCTTTGCGTCATCAGGGTCCAGTGCCGGGGCTGTGAGGGCAGACTCAGGTGCCTGGGGGCCTGGGTTCAGATCCTACCCCTGATCCTTAGCGGTCACGTAACCCGGGTTAAGCCCCCTGAGCTTCAGTTTCCCGTACAATGGGCATAAGAGTGGCACCTTTCTCCTGGGGTTCTTAGAAGTGAATAGTTCTCCACCTCCCGAGTTTCTGAGTCAGCAGCTCTGGGGTGGGCTGAGAATCTGCACTTCCAACCAGCTCCCAGGACCCCACTTTGCAAGCCACTATTAGAAGAGATGCATGAATAAATGTGGCTACTCATAACAGGGCCTGGCACAGAGTACGTATTCAACTGATGTTACTCTTACGGAAAAAATACAGGGAGAGAGAAGTAACTCCTGTAGTAAGTACCAAGTGTGGGCCAGGCTCTGTGCCAAGGTCTGGTGATCGATCGTTTAAGTCTCACGGTGACTCCATGAGATTGGGGGGCGGGGGCAGATAGGTACGTGTCTGAGGCCACTCTGCATGAAGACAAGGACTGCAGGCCTGTCCCTGGTGTCTCCACACTTAGATGCAAGGTCCTTTCCCCTGCAGGATCCTACCATGGCCTGTCCAGGTTGAGGCCATCTGGATCCCTGTCTTGCCAATGAGGAAATGGGCTTAGAGGCCAAGTCTCTGGTCCAGCTAGAACCCAGGTCTGTCTCAACCCTGTTCTGGTTCCAGAGTGAGTGAGAGCTAAGGAGATACCTTTGGCATGTCACGGTCAGGCTGTAAGAAACTTCTAAATTGATGGTTTGGGACAGAGGACTGGAGGGAGGGGTTGGATGGAGGTGGGAGGGACCACAAGTGGCAAAGGACGGAGCCATCCTCTCCTCTAGCTATGTGATCATGGCAAGTTACCCACTCTGGGCCTCCGTTTGCCATACCTGTTAATTGGGAATAGTGGTAATGCCCACCCTGTAGGAAGAATTACAGTTAATGTTAGTAAAGTGCTTAGAACAGCACCAAGCCCACAGTAGGTGCTCGGTGAACACCAGCTTGTCGGGCTGTGAGTACGTGCCCTTGCCCGGTGCCTAAGGCCTGTCCTCACTGCCTCTGCCTGTCACCCACTGCTAGGGGGAGGGCTCGGTACAGCGAGAGAGTTATTTTCTGCAGGGCAATTTCACAGCCCAGGAGGTGTTGGCACAGAGGCTCAGACCACAAAGTGTCCAGTGTCCCTGGCTTCCTGTTCCTCTGCGCCGAGCCTGCCCCACACCCTGGTTCCTCTTGGTCAGCGGGACTGGGTCAGGGGGATTCTGGAACTTCGCACCCAGAACTGGAGGCCAGGACCTGAGCAGCCAGCCTGAAGTCTCCCACCCTGGTCCCCAACTTCTCCACCCGGCATTGCTGGGGCAGGATTCCGGATCTACCTGAGGCCAGCTACATGACCCTAGGCAAGGGAGTGAGGAGCTCTCAGCCTCAGTTTCTTCTTCTGTAAAATGGGGATAATAATAGAACTTGCTGCCAATATTGGGGAGAAATGGACCCAGCGCATCAGAAGGGCTCTAGCATTGGCATTTATTCACTTTATCGAGCACCTGTAATGTGCCAGGCCCAGTTCCAGGTGCTGGGAACACAGTGGTGCGCAGGACACTGTCCCCACCTGGGGGCATCTTCTAGTCCAGGGTTGGAGGGCCAGGCGGTGGAAGATCAATATAAAGGAAGAGTATAATGTCAGGTAGTGACAAATGCGGTAGAAAAAAACCGAAACGAGTAAAGTCGGTCAAGTAAGGGACAGGGGAGGCAGTTTCCTGGGAATGGACAGACGACCTGATGAAGGTGACATTGGAGCCAAGAGCTGCAGGAGAAGTGAGCCTTTTGGTCACCAGGGGGAAGAGTGGTCCAGGCAGAGGGAAGAGCAAAGAAGGCAAAGGCCCTGAGGCAGGAATAAGTTTGATGCCCTGGGAACGGCAGCAGGGGCCTGAACAGTGGTGGTGGTTGGGGGTGGTGGTAACATCAGAGACCGAGGACCCTCCTCCTGAAACATGGTACCCCCCCACCCCCAGAGCAGCGTCTCTGGTTTAGATCCAGCACCCCCCACCTGCTTGGGTGGAGTCCCAAGTATTCTAGGTGGCCCTAGCCTGACCCCCCCCCATGCCCACTTGGGTTCCAGCACAGTGACCTCCAGGCCCCGATGTCAGGGATCTGAAGGGGAGGTCACTCGGAGGTCCCAGCCTCCATCCCATGAGGATGACCTCCATAAACTGGAGTCGGAAACCCTGCCCCCCAAACGCCCTCTAAGCCCTCCCGTGACTCTGGGGGTGACCTTTCCCGGACTCCGGTGCCGGGGGTCCCCAGAGTCGGGAGGGGTCGGGAACACCCAGGCCGTCCGCCCACGCCCAGAAGCCGCGGTCCCTGCGCCACCCGGAGAGGCCGGTGCAGCGGGCGCCTCCCGGGCCGCTGCGGCAAAGGCTGGGCGGCCGCGCCCTCCCCCCGCGGTGATTCATCCCGCCCC